AAAGTATTTTAAAAATGTAGTATTACTTGAGGATAAGTAATGTTTAAGTTTTGGGGATTTTGATACGCCTAAAAATGTACTATTTTTCATGCTATATTTTATAATGATATTGCACTTTAAAGGTATGTTTTCTTGTGTTTTTGGTTGTAGATATATCAAATTGAAGAATTTGGAGTGATTGGAGCAAAAGGAACATCAATGGACCAAAATGGGGCAATCCGGAGCAAATCAGGTCGAATCAGAGCACACCAAAGCTATGGGGACCGAAACCAGACACTTAAGTACCTGTGCCCGGCGCTTAGGTGCCACCAGACAGAAAGGGGAGCCCTTAAGCGCCCCAGAATTGGTGTTTCGTGCATCTTCTTCAATATACGTCGGATTTGGATGATTTTGAAGCGGTGTTTCGTGCATCTCTTGGGGAATTCGTTGGAATTGATAAAATGGAGTTTCTAGAAGGATTTGGGGTGATTAGAAGGAGTTTTGAAGAGGCACTTCAAGCACTATTTGGAAGATTCATTGAATTTGGACAGTTTTGAAGAGACACTTAAGAAACTCTTGGGAAACTACAAATAAGGCTTGGAAATGTTTTTAAAAACTCTCTTGAATATCTCTTGGACTTTGGAATTAATTAGAAAAGGAGAAGAAGACTTAGAGAGTGAGCCCCAAGTGGGGCAGCAAGGTGAGAGAGAAAGAGAGAGAGTGAGAGATTTCTTCTTTTCTTTTCACTTTGTTCTTGGAGAGGATTGTAAGGAGATTGCTTTTGCTATACAAGGAGAGTTTGATTTCCATCAGAGATAAGTATTTTTATTGTATTTAGAATTGAATTTAGTATTTTGTTTGTATGGTTTCAAAAACTTCTGCAATGAAAAGTTCTTATTGTTTCTTCATGTGTAGTGAGTAGTTTTCTTTACTCTTTCTTCTTGTAATGAATTAGTATGCATGTGTAGTATATAGAATTGGGTAGAGTGAGAATATATTGTGATGATTTTACTTTGTTCTTCATTTACATGTAAAATTGATCAACTTGCATGTTAAAATCTGTTGTGAGAACATGTAAGATCCGGGATGGTGTTGTCTCAATCAACTATGGTAGAATCACATGAGATTGTATGGATGAAAATGTAGTCCATATGGTTGAGTGCAAATAAATAGGAAAATC